AAATGAGATTTGTTAATAAACTAAGAATATATGTGGACTGAAACGGATAGTTTTACAAGGCTCCTCCTCAAAAAACTAAAGACCCATACGTCTGCACTCTCATCCGCGACATTACATAACCAATTGCAGCAACAATGCCGGAGAACGTCATATTCTGGCTATCATGGTCACCAAAGTAACGCGATCTCAATGTACTACATTATCACGGTGTATACATCTCCAGGCATAAAACTGTACTAAAAATATTAGTTAAAAGGAGCAAAAACACAAAAAATCCAGCGCTAAAGTTTGAGACAATCAAGAACTGCAAAGCTAATTTAAAGAATCTGAGGAAGAGTGTTACGCTATCGTTGCAAGGAATAATTTACTACGACTTCTTTTTCTTTCATGCATCGCTTACATACCGTTAAGAGATGACAAAGAAAATTCTGCCTTAAAACTTGACTAATGGCATTTCCAGTCTATAACTGCTTTTTAGGTACAAAACCTTGCCCAATTTCTGTTCAATCCACCTTTATATAATTATAAATTATGACAAAGGTTTTTAAGGAAATGTTATGTACGATAACATACTTGCATAGGACATCAAGCACTTCGTTTTCATTGGACGTACAACATTAAAATATGATAGTTGATTTTTTTTTGTCACCTTATGAATACAATGCATTTGAATGTTACAAACTCATTGTGAAGAGCATTTCTGCCTGCGAGAACCGAAGCTTCCAATATTAATTTTGAAGCATCTTACAGGGAGCGGTAAGTACACAGCCGAACTTCAATTCAATTAGGCCGTCCCCCTTTGGGAAAAGTATGAGCCAGTAACTTAAGCCGCGGTTTACCAAATCTTTGAACATCCAGATCTCTTCTTTGGTGGATTGTTTTAAGAAGATAAATGCTTTTCTAGTCTTCTCTTTATGCTTTCATAGAACTGTTCACAATAAATGATTTTTAGATAAAATCGTGGGGCAAATTGAAAATGACTTAGAACGCGGTTTTGTTAAACACTGGCTAAACTACGTTTAAATATTTGGCCCTATGTGCTTAATTTCCGCTCATAAACCTTTCCCGCATTCCTGTAAGGAAAGGCACCAACTGGAGGCTGGGGTAGACAAAATACAGTGATTTGTATGAAATTGTCCCTGACCCGAGCCTTGTCCTCATATCTTTATGTTTGCTCACAAGAGCGTTTTTTAAAAAAATAAGAAGAAGAAGAAGAAAGAAAATGATGTATTAACTGTAAACAAAAATTTTGCCAGTTGTTGCACGTGAAAGCTAATGAGAGGGTGGCTGCACGCTCAACTGTGAAATCGAGTGAATTTAGGATAACCATAGAGAAAAACAGTTCCAGCACTAGTGACTTTTAAGGCAAAATACTTACTGAATGTGTCACGATTTGAGAATTCAATTCATTTCCCGCTGTTAAGTCTTCATCTTAAATAAGCGGGTTTGTCTTTCTGCATTAACTGACCCAAATACAGACCTTTTAGTAGCAAAATAGACAACTAGTACTTAATAGTACTTAAGTCTTAAGTGGGATTCTTTAGAAATAACTAACGAGTGATTCACTAATAAGCGCGAACAGAACATATTACCACTTAAGAAAGAATGGTCATGGCATATAAGCATAAAACGCCCTCCCGTCTGTCTGAGCCAGGAAGTGTTTTACATCTTACTACAAATGGTACGTTTCACATTTTAAATCAGCTAGAGTCTTTCACATTTTACAAATGGAAAAGCAATGCGGCGAAGTTTTTGATTATTGTCATAACCAGAAGCCTAACTCAGGTTTGAATAAATTAAAATTAAATGAATAATTTCTGCTGGGAGAAAAAGAGATTATAAAAACAACAACAACTACAAAATATAACGTGTGGAATGTGGTGTCAGTTATGCCTGGATTCTAGTTAAATTATATTTCTTTGTTATTTCTGACAATTTTATTATAATTTTTTTCCAAATTAATGCTCTCATAGCTATTATCTGCCCTTCAACTTTACCTTGTCTACGATTCTTGATACCTACGCTCCTCTTAAATTCAAGTCAATAACAATTCGTCCACGTGTTCTATGGTTTAGCGAGAGCATTAAAGCTGCAAAGTGTCATAAACGGTCTGCCGAACGTACTTGGGAGTGTACTTCCTGCCGACTTCAATTTATTCAAAGCAGTTAGGAATCGGCTAAGTTTTCTGATGAAAAAGTTTTATTTTATCAATGAAAACAGCGCCAACCAGCAGAAGATGTTCACAATTAGTAAAAAGCTGTTGTACATGCAAGAAGAAGTTAATGATAACTTGTTCCTTAAACTTTCAAACTCTTAACGACGGAAGAATGAACTTTTTTGTCTTATTTTTTTCAGTTTTGTCTTTAAACCATGAAGTACTCTCTGTTCGCCCTGTTGGTACTTATAATTTCTTTCACTCATGCAAAGTTAGTTGGTAGGTACATAATTGAAATTTCTCGAGGGACACTTTCATGTGAGAGGGGAGTAGGTGCCCCTGTAAATGTGGGCGTGGACCAAGCTTTTCTTACCCATCTAACGTACCATTCTCATACAGACAGTTAAACAGGAGCTATAATAAATTTGATAAGATAAAAATTGTCCACTTCTGCTTTATTATTTCTTCAAGCACATTCTTACGCGATACCTATCTACGTAATATTTTGTCTTTCTATTCTAAATACCCATTGCAAAGAGATATACAAACTTTACACACTGAAATGAGAAGTATTAAAACCGTGCCTGTCCGCTCCACCCCCTCGGGGGGACTCCGCCCCGAGGTCCAAGCCCTTACCCTTTTATATACCATTTTGACAGAAACATCATCCCTTTCGTATACCTTCCATTGACAATGGTACTCACTTTACTTGCATAGTTTATAACTTTGTGTCCCTATAACTTCTATAAATGTACTGCCTTTTAAATATGAAAAAATCACAAAACCAGAAAATGTTCTCGACTTTTTCACAAGCATTAAATCCTTCTGTAGCAATTTTATGTCATACTGAACACCGAAATGAAAGATTTCCTACCCTTTTAGATACTTTCACTAGTGAAATCCCTACCCTTTCATACCTACCCTTTTATACCTGAAGCCTGAAAAGAGGTACCCATTTCAGGCGGAGACTCCCCGTATAGTCCATTATAGGGAGAACCCTTCCGGGCCACCTACTAGATTAAACTGAGTCAAGTCAGCCAACGCATGGCCCCACAGCTTCCATCAATGAATGGAAAAAAGAATCCGTCTAGAAACATCATTATTCCCCCCCTCTAACAGTCTGAATGGATGACCCCCTGCGTGGCCCCCCCCCCCCCCCCCCCCCCCCCCTTAAGAAATTATATATTACAGCATAAACTTTGAATGAATTACTATGGGTAAGTGGTAAGGCTACGAACAAAGCAACTCAGTAACAGTTTAGAGATTGTATTAGTTAATATGATACTGTATTCTTCTAACTTCAGCGTACGATGTTAAAACCGGTACGTCAGATAATGCTATGGCTGGCACAAACGCCAATGTTTGGATCAAAATACTTGGCCAGAAGGGCTACACCAGGAAATTGCTCTTGGATAACCCTGGGAAAGATGACTTTCAACAAGGAGCGTAAGTCTCGCACGCTATTGTGGCCTTCAACTCACAATATATATTCGGGTAATTAGGGTATAATTCACCACTTTAGAAACGACTATGAAACTCGATTGAGTAGACTTCAAGGGTTGTTATTGGGCACAGGAATAGCTGACCGGCGCGTGCCGAACAAATTAATTTTCTACTTTTGCTCCCTTCTCGTTTTAAAAGTGTTATAATTTAATTCAAAAACAAGTTGCTGTAACGGAGCGAAGTTGCTGTGCGCGCCGATCTCCTAAAGTGGAGAGTCACATATCGGATAGGTGTTCGCACAGCCAATAGCTTTCCGTGTCGGCACGAACATAACCTAACTCTTTCTATATTTTTGTAGAGGTTACGCACAGAGGGCAGTTTTTCCTCTAGGCTGATCGATCATCAGCTATACATAACAGGGTTAGCTAAAAACAAAAAGACAAACGCTATATTCCTAAGAATTTGCAAAAACACTGCCCATGCAGTATATATTACAATTTCTTTAAGTCTACGGAGCATTGTTACACAAGGGGCCAGAATCCGATGCAAATTTAGTGAGACAGAAGACGCTTTTACGTAGCAAAAGAGTTCAACTTCCACAGAATTGACACTGTAAACCAACATGGCCGCTATTTCATTCCTAACCCGTGGGGGGCGGGGGGGGGAGGGCGCAGGGAAGAGAGACGGGGTGGAGGGACTGTGAACGGCCCACATTTCAGACACGGAATCTAAGTCAATAATAATGATATCTTGGTTTAAATGGATAAATTTGTAAATTTCAATGCTTTTCAAATTTTCCTGTAGTGTAGACGACTTTAAAGTCTATGCCGAAGATGTTGGAGCAGTGTGGGGATTTGAAGTTATGCGTGATGACACGGTATCCAATGGCGTGTCTGCTGTATGGGGCTTTGATTCCGTAAGTGATCACAGTCAAACCACAGTCACCCTTGAGAAATGGCCAACTGATACAGATTGATATGTTTAATGCAGGTTCCGGGGGGTGCGTGTTCTTGAAACGTGCCGTCCGTTACAAATTAAGCCCAGTGGCTCTGGGGACGAGAAATCGCGTATCCTAGATAACCATAAAACAAGTGCGCATGCCTACGATCGTACATGCGAAAAATTATTCTGGATTTTTTTTCTCTTTATATAAAATGATACTGTGCTTTCTCGCTGACGCTCACCTGCAATGAAGCTTAGTTTTAAAATTTAGTTTCTAAAGTTGGATAGTAAGTAAGTAAGTAAGTTTATTAAATCTCCAGCCAGCGGCTCTTCCGATTTAATTTACAATAATTAGAAATCAAATAAAAACTACTTGTAAAAATTACAATAATATTATGATAAAAAACTAAATTCAAATAAATAAATTAACCTATTCTAAAAATTCTAATCCTAAAACTTGCTACGAACTATTATATATTTCGCGCTTTACTGCGCGCTTGAAAACTGAGAGTGTTGCGCTATTTTTCGTTACTTCACTTATAAGAGAATTCCAAGCAGTGATTGCTCTGTAACTAAAGGACCTCTGTGCTGTGGCTGTCCTACAAAGGGGTACGACTAAATTGTCCCTAGATCTAGTATTGTAGCTGTGGATAGCTGATCTTTTGTTGACATAACACTCTAAATATGGTGGTGCAAGGCCATTAACTATTTTGAATAGCATCGTAACATCACGCACTAGTAACTGATTAGTTACATGTACTCACAGTATAATTTGCTTTGTTCCAGATTGGTGTGAAGCCTGCCTGGGCGCCAAAGTATTTGACTTTTTATTATAACTTCTTTTTACCGGCTTATACGTGGATTGAGTTCCCCAGTAAGTAATTAAATATGAGAAACTATATGGGTCAGCCACAAGTTTGAAAAAAGCCACCAGTATTCAACTCAAGCTTATTATTCAATAATTCATTTCTTTGACTTGTTAAAAGTTCTCCTGTGAATTAAGGAATGGGGCACTGCAAATTTGGAGGGGGGTGGTCTGTTTTAGTGGGGATTTCACCTTTCGCATTAATATTTTAAATTCAATATCTACTCCCAATAAGCATTCATTTTTCATTATTACTAATTACTATACTTATTACTACTGTGTCACGTGACTTGTCACACCCGTTCTTGACTTTTTATTCCAAATTTACACCACTTTATAAATAACACTTGTAATTTAATTCACTTTTTGTCAATGACTATTGACACAAAGTTTATAGAATTAATCGGGGTTTTCTAAAATTATCTACTTTTTGTAAACTATAACGTTTCTTGTTAAGAGGGAGACTGGTACGCGACAAAAATTTCTAATAACTACGAAGGAATGGATCATTTCACAAAACCCCGATTAATTTAGCTTATTTGACTGTAAATGAAATATTATGGAAGGAAAAACGATTGTGGTCACAGTCAATAAACTGGTGTAATCTGCAAAGACCAAATTTTGCACAATTATGGGCGTGGCTGGTCACGTGATCTAAAAAAGGAGTGTTAAAGGTCCAAAGCAGTTCTGGTCTTAAACACAGCGGTCTATGATTAAAATAAAGGAAGATACTGGAAAAAAAAAGATCAAGTTATAAGACCCCGCATGTAACGAGGACCCATTCCTTAATTCACCGGAGTAATTAAACTGAACTGCCCTCTTTGAGAGGCCAGAAGAAGGAAAGCTTTAAGATCCTTTTTTCCCAAAACGGTATGGTCTCCTTCAAAGTCTTTTTGACGAGACGAAACGACTGCGAAGGAGGCTAAAAACGTTATAACGATAAAATGTGTTTTCGCCAGCAGCATAGTGCGCCTTAAAAGATTGTTTTTCCATGTGAAGTATTTTAATTGGCGGCCGGGAAAACCTTAAATTCCTGTTAAAGTGGGCTGTTTGCAGTCTTTTATGTCTCCGTGGGATTGTTGAGAAAGAGGCTTGCTGCAACTGGCAGTAACCTAGGCTCCAAATGAGAGTGTGACCTGGGGATGAGGATCAAATTTACCTTAGGGTGCGGCAAAAGGGTGGAGGTGGATCTTGAGAGCTGACAAGAAATATATTTTTTTGCACGCTCTTTTTTTTTCAGTAAATAATTCAGTGAAGGAAAAAGAAGAGAGCGGAAGAAAAATTCAATGGCAACTCCTTTATCGAAATTAAAATTATTATAGTTCTTTTAGCCTATCTGTCTCAGAAGCTATTTTTTAATAAGTGGTCAAATAACGCTTAAGCTTCGCCCAGTTTGGTTTTCTTTTCTTTTGAATTTCTTATTCTCACATGTTTTAGCCGGGTGTTACCCAAGCGAATACTGTCGAGATAAACTTATCACAGAATAATTTCTTCTCAGGATTTACATGCTTGGGAACAAATGAGGCTTGCTATAAAGAAGGAGCTGCCTGCCCAGCGGGTACAAAGGAGAATTCTGGCAAGGAGTGCTTCCTGAAAACTTTAAAGTGTTGTACCACCGGTAAGCTGTTAGTAATGAGACCCTTACAGCTGGTTAGTCATGTTGAACAGAAAATGTTAAGGACTAAGAGACCTGGGCGACAAGACTCTCCGGAGCGAGGTCCCCAATAGAGTTCTTCAATCCTGTAATCTTGATTCAAAATTTCGTGCAATCCCGTAATCACGAGGGGGGTTTTTGGCATCCCAACTCCCGCGCATATTTTCAAACCCGAAGCTCGCCCTGATTTTGCTTGCAAATCCCGAATCCCGAGATTCAAATAAGAGAAATCCCGAAAAAACTTATTGGGGATCCTCCAGAGCAGAGTGGTATTTCACTTCTAACAAGTCAACATGACTGATCAGTAACAAAGGACCCATTCTCATAAGAGAGGAGATACCAGTGGAGGATCCAGGGGGCCCCGGGCCCCCAAACCCCCCCCCCCCCCCCCCCCCCCACCCCCCCCCCCCCTTCAGACTGAAAATCCTACATTGACACGCTCGCCTTTAACTTTCTACCTTATTGATTTTTTTTTTAATAAACTCTTTACATCTTTTCACTTAAAAAAATATCCTG